GGGGGGGGGGGGGGTGGAGGGGGGGGCGACACTCAGGATACTCATGCTGCTTAGCTTTCACTTCTTTTACCTTAACTCCAAAATGTGCTGCACACGGCGTAAATTTGTGTTTAAAGGAAAGACACGTTGCTCTGGGAACGGACCGAGGGTTGAGCCTCAGGTCAGTCTGGTGCATGTGTTCCAGAGCCGCGGCGTTCCCACACGAGTGAAGGACTGCGTGGCCTTCACCTCGATAGAAACTGATACGGCGGTGGACGTTGGGTGAACTTTAAAAATAAATAACTTAGCTAATATCTTTGACTTATACACACACGTTCACATATGTAATGGTTCCTTATTAAATAACAAGCATTGTGTTTATATGATTTTATCATATACTGTATGTGCATCATAGTGGTCCTCAACACTGGGTTTGCAACCCTGAGGGGTCCATGAAGGTACTGCAAAGGGTCTAGGAAAGCACGAGACTGTTGAAGCTTCCTGGTGATTGGAAAAACCTGTTCATTCTTTTATTGGGAGCCCACAATGAGGGGCGTTTAAGTACCATAGGAAATTTGACGATTGGAAAAATACTTATGAAATAAAGATTTAATATAGGGATATCCGATATTAAGTTTTTGTCGAAATCAGATGTGCCAAAATTGCCCAAACACTTTATTTCCAGTTCCGATATCAACCGATACCGATATATGCAGCCATTTTTCTCCAAAACTGTGGTTAGTGTCTCAGACCCTACGAGCGATTTCAGCATATTTATCTAAACCCAAGTATTGCGTTATCAGATTTTCATTATTGGACAAAAAAAACAATAACAACTCAACAGATATTACATAAATATGCTAATATCGGGCAGATAATATGGGACGACCGATATTATCGGTTAGCCGATATAATCGGACATCCCTAATTTAGTTAATTGAAAAGGGTAAACTTATTTTTTTTAAAATTATTAGGATGACATCCCTAATTTAGTTAATTGAAAAGGTCAACTTGCATTATTAGGATGTATTATCTTTACATTAGTGGTTAATTTGGTCTTGGAATAATATTGACAAAAATATCGTTTATCAGCAATAATTTGTGCCACAATATATCGTCCAGCAAAATCTCTAATCGTCCCAAACCAATGGTTTGAAAACCACTGAAGTCTCTGTACAGATCACTCACCAGGTCGTATGTCACGTGACCACTGTGAGTTCATCATCTTCTCTCTCCCCCATGTGCAGCACGACAGGTGGAGAGTGAGCAGTGTCAACAGAGGATACGCCGCGTGTCCCTCCTACCCCGCGACGGTCATCGTTCCTAAGGACGTAGATGACGACATGCTGATGAAAGTAGCCAAGTTCAGGCAGGGAGGACGCTTCCCCGTGGTCTGCTACTGCCACAGAAAGAACGGCAGGGTGAGATTATTTCGTATTCCCCCCCCCCCCTCCCCGACCCCCCCAGAGTGAAGATTCTAAACAGACAGCTGGTTACGTTGTGTCTCCAACTCCTCAGGTTATCGTACGCAGCAGTCAGCCGCTGACTGGAGCTAACAGGAAACGCTGCCAGGAGGACGCGTTCCTCCTTCAGGCGGTGATCGACGGCTCCGACAAAGGTTACATCATTGACCTGCGCTCGAGTCAGCAGGCGCAGCAGGCCCGGATGACAGGTGGAGGGTTCGAGTCCAAGTCCTGCTACACCAACTGGAAGAGGCTGCACAGACAGATGGAGAGGTGTGAACGAGGGAACGTATGATGTGTAGGGATGGAACGATACACGCAACTCACGATACGATATGATTCACGATTATTGTTCACAATACGATACATTTTTTTTTTCACAATTGTTTTTAACAAAATGATCTCCAGTCAAACTGTGGTCAAATCCACTGATCTGCTCTCTTTGTCAGAACTGGGTCAAATCCCATCACCAACTGACATGGTCTGTGAACCTCATCAACTGACATTGTTCTCTTCAATAACAGAAGAGAAAAAACAGGAAGTGGAAAGAGTTCCACTGGAGAACACTGTTGGTGTCTGTGGAACCAGTTCTTCCCACGTTCTGTTCCAACACCTGAACGTCTCTCAGCCTACGTTGGGACCTGACGTCTGGGTTTGATAGTGGGTTTTTAGGAGTATACTGCCACCTACTGGACTGGAGTGTGTAATGTCATGGTCTGACCAGTGACTTAAGTACAATAACATTAGAAAATCTTCATATTTAATGAAATATAATTTAACAAAACATCACCAACATGAAGTGTGCATTTTTTTTTACACTTTCAAAATTCATCAAGCGGACCGCATTGAACCCCCTAGCCGGCCAGTTTTGGCCCACGGGCTGTATGTTTGACATCCCTGCCTTAGGCCTTGATGCGAGATTCATTTTTTAAAAATGTTTTTGTCTCCAAACAGAGGTAAAGTCCTCCAGGAGAGTCTGGTTAAACTGGTGGAGGCCTGTAGTGACGAGTCCCACAATATGGACCGCTGGCTCAGTAAGCTGGAGAACTCCAGGTGGCTGTCTCATGTCCAGACCGCTCTGTCAACTGCTGGTCTGCTGGCAGAGTGTGTGGAGAGGTACGGTCAAACTGAAGGAAAAGACACACCCTGCTGGCCATTTGGTTAGGTACACCTGATGATCTGCTTGTTTATTGAAATATCAAAAAAGTCACTGACTTTTTCGTCCGTGCAGGGACGGCCGATCAGCGCTGGTCCATGGTTCAGAGGGAACAGACTCCACTCTGCTGGTCAGCACTTTGGCTCAGCTCATCATGGACCCACGCTGCCGCACGCTGGAGGGTTTCCTGACCCTGCTGGAGAGGGAGTGGGTACAGGTGTGTGTGTGTGTGTGTGTGTCTGTTTATATTTGACTTTCTGAAACTGAGAGCTACTTCAAGGGCAGTTAGTATTACGAAGAACTACTTGTTTGATATAGAGTTCCCCAACAATGTAATAATAATCGGTTCTGGGACAGACAACAGTTGACACTGAACACATTTGAATATCAAGTAGAACTGATTCAAGAAGCACAGTAACAGTACAATTGTTGACCCTCTTGTTGACTAGAACATGGACACCACGTTGGTGACCCCTGATTTACTGACCCCATGTAAAACCTGGGCCTATTTAGTTGAACACAATCCTCATATACTCGCAGGAATTGAAGAAAGACACACGGCTGTTGTCAGACATGAACAAAGGTGTGTTTGGGAATGTGTGTAGGATGAGCTAATGGGTGCAGCTAGCTGGTGACCCCTGTCGTAGACAAAACAATCCAACTTTTTTAGCTGAAAACTTTCTTTGTATTCCACTATTTATTTATTAATTTCCAGGATATAATGTATCTGTGTGAATTCCACTCCTCCCCTGCAGGGGTTGCTGTAATGTCACGTGATGTCTAATTCTATCCTGTGTGTGTATGTGTGTGTTCTCTGTTCCAACCAATCGCTGACCCTCCTTCCTTCCTTCTCCACCCTGTAGTCAACTACATTTGCAGCGTTTTCTTCGTTTTTTTTCTTCAGGCAGGTCACCCGTTCCAGCAGCGCTGTGCCCACTCGGCCCACTCTCATGCCCGCTTCCAGCAGGAGTCGCCGGTCTTTCTGCTGCTGCTGGACTGTGTGTGGCAGCTGTGCCGTCAGTTCCCTCTGGCTCTGGACGTCTCGGAGACGCTGCTGCTGAGGCTGGCAACTGAGGCCTACGCCTCGGACTTTGGCACCTTCCTGTGCAATAACGACCAGGAGAGGTCAGTGATGAGCCTTGTTGTTAAGTAAGGGTAAGAGAGTGACGAGTAAGAGTGTAGAGTAATTGACTCGGAGTATTTTGAAAACTTAATTTGATTTATTTAGTTTAAAATAATCCAATTTGTTTTTATGTGTTTTTAGACATAAAAATAAGAATTGATTTGGTTCTGTTTTTATACACCAAATTTTCTTTTTGAATGTTGACACAATTATTCTGCAGTTGCAAAGGCTGACCACTGTATGGCAGTGTTGGGTGATTCTCAGGCGTCCACTGTAGAGGCTTATATGCAACACTGCCATTAAAACCTATTCTTATCATAGAAAATGACATTTTAATAGCTGTCCACTGTAGTGACCGTCATGCATGAAAGTGCTAGGGGGAGCCATAGTACAACCAGCAGTACTGTACCGCATATTGTTCTAGAATTTTCCTTTAGGACTTAGATGCCCTGTTTTGACCACATACATTAGAGTTTTCCTTTTCCTTTAGGTGTTCCTTAGAGGTGAAGGAGAAGACTCACTGTTTATTCCGGGCCCTGCTGCGGCGCGAGGAGAGAGAGTGGTGCAGCAACCCACTGTTTGAGCCCACTGAACTGGCAATCTGGCCCTCAGTCTATCCTCAGTCTCTGCAGCTCTGGACAGGTTGGCCTGAACCTCTTATCTTGTCAAACATATAGCTGGCGGGCCAAAACAGGCCCGCTAGGGGGTTCAATCCGGCCCACATGATGAATTTTTTTCCTCCATTTTTTTCTTTTAACTTACGGTGTCATTTTAGAAATCTGACCCTAACCCTTTATCTGATCTTCAGGTTTTTTTCTAAGGTGGACCAGAGAGACTCAGCACCTGGTGGAGGCTCAGCAGGGAATTAGGAAGATGGTCATTGAACTGGGACAACAAGCTGATTGTAACTGAGTGTAACAGAGGAGATCATACCATGGACAATGTCATCGACTGTTGTTTTATAAATTTTTATACGACAAAAAAAAACATTGTTCTGTTTTATCTTTTCATCGCACACTGTGTAAAAAAAAGACTACGTTTCACATCATTCCCATGTGTTGGTAATCGCCGACAAACCTTCATTCATAAATACGATCACGGGGTGGGGTGTTGCCGGGGGGTGGGTGGGTGGGGGGGGTCTGTGTAAGTGACACACCTCCCAGTCCTGTTAAGCTCAGCTAAACGCTCCACACAATACAAATCCCTGTGCACAGCATGTCAGCATGTTTACACACAGGGAGAGCGCCGTCCTGTCCACGCTCAGTCGAGAGTCACCAGCTCCCAGGGACAGTGGACCGGAGTCTAACCGTCCAGATTCAGGACGGGACAGGGACGGATGAGACACTGGAGGACAGACAAGTTGGAAACCATTTTACTAGATATTGTTATGGTTAAAAAAGGTGAATAGTTTTGGTTCTGCTGGTCATGGTTGAAGATTCCCTGAGATTTCTGATCTGATCAGGATACAGGTGAGTCGAAGTCTTTTACTCAAACTGACTTTTATTATTTATTTTTACTTAATTTAATTTAATATTTTTTATTTCATTTTTAATCTTTGATTTTTTAACCCTTTAATTGTATTCATTTACTCAATTAATGTTATTATGAATTCAATATAATAATTTCTGGGAGATTTCTTTGCTTTCTGAAGAACTGCACTGGAGATGCAGTTGTGCCTACTGGTCAGCGTGAGTACTGCGGCGGCTCCACTGGAGATGTTTTGCAGACGTTCCCTCAGCAGGATGTGGAGTTTGCCTCGTCGTGGCGTCAGTTCGTCACACAGGGAGATGAGCAGGTGGAAACGAACGGAAAGCGTCCAAACTCCTGAGGAGAAGCCTCGCATCCTCATCACAGGTGACGAGACGTGACACGGATACGGCCGCATCGTCAGCATAGAGTGGCAAATGTTTCCCAATCTTTACCTGCTGCGACTTCAAACTTCAAACTCCACTGAACCTTTTTAAAACACTGATTCCTAAAAAAGCTATTTTCACTGAAAAACTAAATAAATTCTGAACTAGTAAATTTAATATGAGAATATGAATATAAGAGTCTTTGGGAAACTTTTTTTTTTGGGATCATCTCACATCATGTTTCCCAGGAGTTTACGAATAATGTCTATTGACTTTGGTCGCATTGGTTTGTGACTTTTAAAATATGGGTCCCCAGAAAAAAAAAAGTTTGGGAAACACTGGTCCAACGAGTCCGTGCTTGTTTTGTACCATGTTTTCCATAAAGACACTGATTTGTGCAGAGAAATTAAAAATAAGGGCTCAGAAAACAAACATTTTTTCAAAGGAAACAACGTGGTTGAAATAGGACTCCAGCCTTTCTCTCAGTTGTTTAGCGGCTGTTTTTTGTCACGGCGCGTGAACACCAGACTCCTGTTTTGACTCATCATAATAGACTGCACGTCGGCGCCGCTAATGATAAAAGGGAGACAACAACAAGTGTCTGTGGGGACAATAACGGACCGCTGTGGAAAACATAAAAGATTCAAAGCACGAGCTTCAAAAACATGTGGATCAAAACACTTTACTGTGTTTGGTGTGTGTGTGTGTGTGTGTGTGTGTTGTAGGTGGCCTTGGACAGCTGGGCGTGGGTCTGGCACAGTTACTGAGGTGAGATTTTTGGAAATGACTTCAATGTGAAAGTAAAAAAAAGTTTGAGTTTGGACCTGAGTTCTGCCTCTGTGTCCAGACGACAGTATGGAAAAGACAACGTTATTCTGTCAGACATCAAGAAGCCTCAGCCTCAGGTTGCTAACAGCGGTATGTAAAATATGATTTGTTTTTTATTTGCATGTACAGAGGAGTTCCCCGAAATACACGTTTTCCAAGTTATCAACTTCTCCTACTCCTACCTCAGTGGCCCCAACACTCTGTCTCCCTCTCTGGGTTATTTAACCCATTTTTTTATAACAATAATATAAAATGTTTTCATAATAATTATTATTTTATATTATCAATATATTTGTTTATATCTATGTTTTTATGTTTGGATCAGGGGTTCATTTTATTAATTAATAGTATATTTCTAGAACGAATTCATTGGTTTTGAGTTATTATTTTAAATGAGAAAATTCAATCGAGATACGAGCGGATCGACATACGAGTGCTGTTGTGGGACGGATTCGACTCGTATCTCAAGATGAACTCTCGTCCTCTCACCAGGTCCCTTCGTATACGCCGACGTGTTGGACTACAAGCATCTCAGAGAAGTGATCGTCAATAACGGCATCACGTGGCTGGTCCACTACAGCGCCCTCCTGAGCGCTGTGGGCGAAGCGAACGTGGCTTTGGCGCGGAAAATCAACATCACAGGTTAGCTTGTCTGAAGGAACGACAGCCGCCAGGCGTTTCGGTGGTGCCTTCAGCCTGTGTTCATTCACCAGGTCTTCATAACGTCTTCGACCTGTCGCTGGAGAACTGCCTGCGCCTGTTCGTCCCCAGCACGATCGGTGCCTTCGGTCCGTCTTCTCCACGCGATCCAGCCCCAGACCTGTGTATACAACGACCCAGGACCATTTACGGTGTGTCCAAAGTGCATGGAGAATTGATGGGAGAGGTAAAAAAAAAAAAAAAAAAAAAAAAATTATATACAGGCAAAGGAAGAGACGACTAAAATCATCGTAATGTGTGTATATTGACCGTAAACATATACGGTGAATGTTTCTTTAGTATCTCCATCACAAATACGGCCTGGACTTTCGCTGCCTTCGTTACCCAGGTGTGATATCAGTCAACACAACTCCTGGAGGAGGAACAACAGGTATACAATTTCACACACATTATACCAAGAGGTCCCCACCAACCCCCGGTCCGTGGACCGGTACCGGTCCGTGGGTAACAGTGAAATTAATCATTTACTTCATTTAAAGAGCATCTGTTAATTTCCATTTACTTTTGTCATATAAGAAATCTGGCAAGTATTTTAAAATTTAATAATATGTCTCTAAGACACCAATGCTAACAGAACAAGGCCTAAAAATTATTTTATTTTAAAAGTTTACCGAGCCTTAAAAATCCTTTAACAGCCCTTCGATAAACAGCACGGCCGATACCAGTCCGCAAACCGCCTATTTCCGGCTAACCAGTCCTTAGATTATACCATATATTAATTATATTCACATAATTATAAATGACAGATTATTTATTTTAGTTTACAAAGTTTACTTTGTTTGCCCAGACTACGCGGTTCAAATCTTCCACGATGCGCTCAGCACAGGTCAGCACGAGTGCTACCTGCGCCCCGACACCCGCCTTCCCATGATGCACATCTCTGACTGCCACCGTGCCACCGTGGAATTCATGCAAACCTCGGAGTGCCAGCTGTCGCTGCGAACCTACAACATCGCCGCCATGAGTTTCACTCCAGAAGAGGTGGCACAGGAAATACGCAAACACCTCCCGCACCTCAAGGTCACCTACAAGACAGATTCTGTCCGACAGACCATTGGTAAGACCGACGCAAGCTAGCTCACATGTGGAACGGTCACTGTTCAGATTTCCGTACTGACTTAGCTACGTACGTCACTTTGTTTTGCAGCAGACAGCTGGCCGGTGAGGTTTGACGACACCAATGCTCGGAGAGACTGGGGATGGGAGCCAACGTTTGGGCTGGAAAAGCTGGTTACAGACATGTTACAGTCCGTTCGAATCAAGAGGACCAACGAGGGTTTGCCAGTCAGCTAGTCCCACAGTCCTCCAAAAAGACCAACACCATACCTCGGACTTCTCTAACAATACTCTTTATTTTCACATTTAGACTTTTCTCACACTATCATATTACATATTCTTAATTGTAACATCTATTTTAAAGCAGTGATACATTGTCAGACCTAATGGTGGTAAAAGTGGTTTGCATGGGTTCCACCGCCAATCTTTTTGTATGGAATTTGCCTGTTCTCCTCCCACTGTCCCTCAGGTAGAAGACCAACAAATTAAAATAACCTGTCCAACCCTCTCTACATCTTTGTAACATTAGTGTTTTCATGTTGTAGGCTTCTCTGGTGTTTGTTTTTTACCAAGTTTTTCTCATCAAATAAAATCATCAGATGCATGTACAACCCTGGGTGATAAAAAAAAATCTGAGGTAAAATTTGATAAGATTTTTAATTAAACTAACTGAATTTTAATCAGATGGCGTTACTGTTTTTAACACTATAACAAACAGCTGTGTTTTTCACCGTCTGTCTGGGAATCAATGTGGTTTGAACTAATAACAAATTCTTGTGGCGATAAAACCGATGCAGTGTTGTTTGAAAATAACATTGGTGAATAAAAAGAAAAAAACATGTTTGAAAATAACATTGGTGAATAAAAGAAAACTTCCAAGTCAGTGTGAATGACTAAAAATGACTTCAAATGCATATTTAATCCTGTGAGGTTGTGGCCTTTAATGTCTTTGATCCACAGCTCCTGTTGCTCAGCGACTAATTAGCAGAACACGAGTGTGATCTGATGGAGGTAGAATTATGATTTTTTTTTAAAACAAATACTCGGTCAGAAAAGCAGTGAAACATTACTGACTCCGCCTGCTGTCAATTTCTGAGACTCGCTTCTGCGTTACTGCTTTCGTCCTGTAGAGGCGCCAACTTCATCCGGTTCATCACACACGTCCCTCTTGTCCGCGACGTTTATTCCTTTTCTCCGATAATGGACGCGGGATTTTTCCGCGTAAGATTTTTTAAATTACTTTTGGTCTTGATTTGTGTTTCATGTTGTATCACGCTGTTGGTTCTTGGTGTAAATAAATGTGACATATGTTAAGGGTAAAGAGACGAGCAGTTTCGGGGCTGCGTCTATCAACTGGTTAGTCATGGGTTTGGTCCGTGGTCGGTTATCGTTTAAGAGTTTGCCAGTAAAAGGCGAGCGGCTTTTTCCTAAATTTAATTTATCAATGTGTAACGTTACATGGCGTTCGCGCGCAGCCTTTGTTTTATGATCTTTTTGGCAAACATCAGAGCAGCGGAGCTTCATGGCTAATGCTAACTCGCGCTGTCTAAAAATGGCGGCCGGTCAGTGCGTCGTTCCCGTCTCTACGTTGATCTTGAGTAGTGTTTGAGTACTCAAATCACCCAGTATAAGTTTAAACAAGTTTTTTATTTGTAACAATATGACATTTCATCATTTGTTAACTCCCATACACTGTTCTGATTGGACAAATCTATCAGATTGTGACGAATGCTACTCTGTGAGATCCGTGTGTATATTGGATTAAACACAGCTAGCTGTTAGCTAACAGCACTATTCTAGAAAGTCAACGAAAAAAAAAAAAAAAAACCACATGTGAACACAACCCATGAAGTGACGGTCACAGAATTATGCGATATTAAAATCGAGGTGTTTGTAACGCCAGTTTGTTGAATGTTCAACATGGTAACAGACCTTTTTATTTTTTTTGTATTTTTTTCTTTAGGGCACAAGTGCGGAACAAGACAACCGTTTCAGCAACAAACACAAGAAACTGTTGAAGCAGCTGAAATTCGCAGAATGTCTGGACAAAAAGGTAAAATTTTTAAAATTAATAATAATAATAATAATGCCTTAATTAAGAACACTAATGACGTCTTACTATGATATAGAGTGTACAGGAAAGGAGTAAAATGATTAGTGGAGTAATACATGTAAGAATAGAGTTTTAAATCGCTCCAAACAGATGCAGTATTACAGGAAATAAGCATTGATATTTATATTAAATTAGTGACCTCGAAAAAAAAAAACGTTTCTGACAATACAAATATTTATTTGTATAAGTAGCCAGTGGAGTGATGGAATTTAAATAACTAAATAGACACTTCTCCTCTGTGAAAACAGGTCTAACTGGATGCAAATTAATTGCATCCTCAGTTGATAACATCTTGTCTTGAGCAAATCCTAATCACTGGCGATTTAATTCTGTGCTTCCATGTGTCACCAATAGGTGGACATGACCAAAGTGAACCTGGAGGTGATCAAACCCTGGATTACTCAGCGTGTGACAGAGATTCTGGGATTCGAGGACGATGTTGTCATAGAGTTCGTATTTAACCAGCTGGAGGAGAAGGTAACATACACACTTGTGTCTATGGATGTTGTGCTTTGTTTCAGAACTGTGATAATGTAAGGGATTTGCTTTGCACGTAAAAAGGCATTTGATGAAGTATTTGCACATCCTAGTCTGAGTGAAAAGGTAGTTTAACGATTGGTATCAAACTGATATTTGATGACATAACAATGTTTTGCTGTTATGTGACAAAGTGCATTTATTTAGCAGTCTTCTAATGATGATGTGATTTATGATTTAAAAGGCCTGAACCAATATGGATGTTATACCTTGCATCAGAAGTATAGCACCAACACCTAATTAGCTCTCTCCTGAGCCCAAAGTCACTGAGCCCAACTCTCCCTTCATGATGCAGTGTGTGGTTTGAGGTGAGTTATAAGCAGGGATCATTAACATCATGTCAGTGAAAGACACAACTAAGCAATGCCATAAACATATTCTTCGTAGGTATTTACAATGTGTCACTCAGAGAATCACTTCTTAAACCCTAAGGTCCGGACTGGGAACGTAAAAGTTTCACAATCTCTCAGTCTGTTGAGTGTAACTGAATCCCGACAGACTCAAAACTGGTTTCTTAAGTTTCCAGTCCTTTGCTGTAATATTGGAAGTGATCAGAACTGTACTGAAGTACAACAATCCCTGCTCTGATGTCACCGGGTAGTATTGATACTCAGTTTAAACATCTGATCACACATTGCCTGTTTTATCACAATATAGTTTTCATCAGTAGAGCTGTAAGTTTGAGCCTCACTGATGTTGTCCTTTTTTTTCGGGAGGGGAAGAGGGTGGTAAGAGGGGATATATCCAACAAAGGCTACTTTGTTGAAGCTCGTACGTAGGTCGTTAACGTAGCTAATGCAATTTCAAGTAATTTACAAACACTATTTTTTTTATTTACTTATCAAGGTTGTACAAACCAGAAATTCCAGAAAAGTTCATGTCAAAATGTGTAATTTGGTAATGCACTTGTACTCTTTCCATCGTCAGATTTTAGCACAAATCAAAATGTGTAATTTGGTAATGCACTTCGACCAATGTATTAAAAGAAAAAAAAAAAGGAACTCTTTCCAGTGTCAGTTTTTAGCACAAGCGATTCACCAAACTTCAAGTTGATAGAAACAGAGAATAAAACAAAAATAACCCCCTGAAAGGTAAACGTGTCAGAAAGAGATTAGTTATGAGACGAGTTTTTGACAAAGGAAATTAAGAGTTTTTGACAATGAACAAATCAACACAATTAAGAATTCATAGGGTGAAAACAAACAGGGCAACAAGGATGATGTGTAATTACATCACAGCCAGTGACCACACTGTTGGCAGCGACACTTCACCTAAACTTTGCACGGCCTTTTTAGGTTTCCAAACGATAACAGAACCCACAACTGACGTAATGCAGGATAGGTTGTCAGCACAAATCCAGTTAGTTTGGTCAGAAAGTAGTCTTCTCCTGTGCTTTGTCTAAAAAGTCATGGTTCAAGTGCAATTCCAAATTACACATTAACTATTTTATTGCAAACGTTTTAGTTTAAAGTGCTGGTTTCTCACACCGGCTGATTTCAAAGCAGTCGTCCTCTCTGTTTGTCATGACTTTAGATCTGGGTGAGTTCACACGTTCAGTCTAGTCACTTGAATTCAGTTTATGATCTCCCATGATTGTTGTTAGTTGTTGAAGTAAAAACTTTTTTTTTTGTGTAACTGTGTACTCATTATTGCTTGTTCGTCTCTTGCAATTTAGATAAATGATATAACATTAAGCTCAAGGTGGTTGAATCTCAAGCGGTAGGGAGGCGGAAGCAAGCCATGGGAGCTCCGTGCCCACTGATCCCACGGGACTCACTGAAGACACCGGAACTGTACTTGCACTGTTGGGTTTTGAAGCACTCTGTATTGTGGCTATTTATTCTACAGTAACTCCTGAAGTGTTTACTGTTGGGACACTGGGAAATGGAAGGGGGTGGAGGGGGTGGGGAATTTGGATATGGAACAAAAAAAGAATTCAAGTCTGTAATTTTTTTTTTTTGGGACAAACCATTTTGATTAAAGATAATGGGAAGTAAATTTCTGACTGTTGCATGCAGTATGTAAGATCATTGGGTTATTTCTTCACCTATTTAGAGTTTGTGAGGATGATAAAACCGATCACATTTTTTATCTTTTTTTTGTAGTTCCTTTTTTTTTATATATATGTCAACTGGATCTAGGACAGAAATATTCTTGACAGTGTAACATGTAACGTTTACATAAACAAGACTAATGGCAGTCAGGACTACAGTAGAAGAAGGAACCCCATATTGGGGGTGTCCTGCATCTCCCTTCTTTCTGTTCCGTGTTATTTCAATCCATATATTTTTTTTCTCTCTTCCTTATTTCTTGTGTGTTGCAGCACCCAGATAGCAAAATGATGCAGATCAATCTGACGGGTTTCCTGAATGGGAGGAATGCCCGGGAGTTCATGAAGGATCTGTGGCCCCTGCTGCTCAGTGCCCAGGAAAACATCGCCGGCATCCCGTCTGCTTTTCTGGAACAGAAGAAAGAAGAAATTAAACAGAGACAGGTGAGGTCACGGTAAACAACACGTAAATGGACGGTGGAATTATTGGATATCATGTTTGTATGATTCTGGCCATGTGATAAAATTGTTTAAAAATATTGAATCATATCAATCTTCACAAGTTATGTAAAATTTATAATAGGGGTGCAAGAAAATATCGATACAGTGAAATATCGTGAGATTTCGTTTCACGTTACTCTATCGATATTCTATAGCACTGTATTGATTATTTTTATTAACAGTTAACATGCAAATATTCATGTTCATTTTAGTGTTGCATTTAAACCTCTGACCACTAGTTGGAGCCATACTGCATATACTGTATTTTAGACTTTAAGTCAATCATTTTTTCAAATGATTATCCAAACAATTCTGCAATTGCTTTTCTGACAGTTTCAAATTGTTAAAAAAAAAAAAAAAAAACTAAATATTTTGCCGTGCCTATAGTATCGCAATATATCGTTGACACTGTATCGTGATACGTATTGCATCCCCAGATTCTTGCCAATAAAGCCAATATTAAATAGGCAGTATGTTTAAGCGCACAGAACAGTCATAAGTGCAAGTGAAAGTTTTGATGTTGGTGAAGTTATTGACTTGATTCTTGGTTGTTAATTTTCGGTAGATTGAACAGGAGAAGTTAGCGTCTCTGAAGAAGGTGGACGACGACAAGAAGGAGAAAGAAGCCAGGGAGAGAGCTCAATCCAAAAGCCCACGCAGGTAATAATAAAAAAAAAAAAGAACGTTTTTTGGATAGAATTTGGTCATGGTTTCTTTCAGTAAATCCAAATGTATTCATCTGTGGTTTTAATGTGATTAAGGCGAAAGACCAGGTCGCCATCACCTCGACGGCGTTCGCCAGTAAAGCGTGAAAAGAAGCGTAGCCCCTCACGCTCACCGAGACGTAAATCCAGCCCGCTCGTCAGCAGCTCCCCTCCCCCGCCTCTGATGCAGCTGCCCGCCAAACATTCAGAGCAGCTCGCAGAACCGGACATGTCAGGCAGGCCCGTGCCCGAACCCGTGGTCCAAGAAGCTTCTTCCGCCTGGTTTGTGTAATAATAAGTTTTACGTTTAAGTTGTACTTAAGTTGCGATCACAACCTGAAAATGTAAAACTGAAGTTTCCGCTCCGTTTTGTTTCCAGTGACACAGTTGTTGAAGTCGTCAAAGCCGACTCGGTCACACAGGTCAAAGAACCCACCCCTGAGAAGGTGAACAAGAAAGAGGAGCGGCCCAGGTCACGGGAACGAGAGAAGGAAACCAGAAGGGAAAAACCACACCATCGATCCCGTTCTCATTCTCGGTCTCGCAGACGTCGCTCACGTTCTAGGTAAATTGAAAAAATGTCACGTTGGAAATACTCTTCGTTGCTGTCAGGTTCAAGGTGAAACAAATGTTCTTCTCCTTTTGTCCAGGTCTCACTCTCCTCGTAGGAGACCAAGTCCCAGGAGGCGAATGTCCCCTCGCAGAAGGAGTCCACCTCGACGAGGTCCCCCCGCCTCCAGGCACCGTCACAGACGTTCTCCAATTCGCAGGTCAGTGTGATGGTGGCCACTGATGGTTCTTGTTTGACAAGTTGAATTCAGTTGTGTTTTAATTAGGGATGTCCGATATGAACGTTTTGCCAATATCCGATGTGCCGATATTGTCCAAACACTCAATTTTCTTCTTACAGATATTACACAATTATGCTAATATCGGTTGACGATCTTATCGAACATCCCTCATTTTTAATATATATTCTGTGTTATTATAGTGGGAAATTTAATACTGGGTTTTTTTTGTGTTCCACAGGAGGCGCTCTCGTTCTGCCTCATCCTCTGGTAGCAGCATTTCGGGCTCTCGCTCACCGAAAAAAGTTTTGAAACGAGTATCGACCACACCTCCCCGGAAACAAATGCCTTATCGAGACGCTTCCACCAGCCCAGCCGGTAAGGACAGACGGTCCCCATCTCCCAGGGCAAGAAAAGGACGGAGTTCAGTTTCTCCACCGAGATCATCAGGTACAAACCTTTGTCTTTTTCCAGGTTTTAGAACAGATTTCTGTTGTGCTGTTCAGGTTGGTCTTATTCAGAGGTCCAAACCTGTTTGTATTCAGGAAAGTATTCCAAAGACCACCTCCTCCTGGGACTGTTGGTTGATCAGGGATGTTGTTTGTTTGTGACTTTTTTGCATCAGAATTTATTACTTTTTTTTTTGTTAAACAGCTCATGTCATCAAGTTACTACAATAGTGGCTGTAGTTATAGATGTATTTCATTGTAAAGTAAAATAATGCTGCTGGTCTGATGTTCAGGTTTAAAGGCCAAGCCTGGAAGAAGAGCCGACTCTCCTGTGAAGCCCAGACACTCAGAGGAGTCTGAGTCAGGTCAGAGAATCTTTCTGCCTCTTGTCAATTCTTTAATTATGTAGATATTTGTTGTGTAATAATTGAATATTGTGAATCCTTGAATCAAGTTTATCTTAGCGGCGTATACTGGAGGAAAGATGATCTGGACTTAGTGGATTACCCTAGAGCGGGATAAATAAAGTTCAACGGTAACTTTATTTTTATGGCGACAGAGGCTTAAAAAACCCCAGAAAGTAATAAATACCACATCCTGGTATCAGTGACAAGCAAATTGATTGTTTGAGCATTTGTTTCAAGAGTTTTAAGTACAAATAATTAATTATATCCAACTAATCTGCAGAAAATGTGTCATTGTTTTCAAGTGGCCTTTAAATATTAACATTTCACTCAAGAACCTGAACCCATTTTCTGTTGGATATCGTTGAAATCCCAACAGATAAAGTATGAAATGCATGGTTTATATATGACTCCCTTCATTGTAAAAGACCTGTTTATCTGTCATCAACTTTTCCACGGATTTCTTTGTCATTGATTTGGATTCCACTTGACTCGAAAATCAATGTTCTACATTTCAGAGGAGGATAAAAATGACAAAGGGGCAACAGCAGATTCAGTGCAGCAGCGACGTCAGTATCGCAGGCAGAATCAACAATCGTCCTCAGGTTAAAAGAGTTTTTGTCCCCATTCTTTCTTCTTCCATTTCCAACCCTCTCTCCAGTCAAGTCTCTGTCGTGTCATTACGCTTTTATCAGCTCATCGACTTTTGAAGCTGTCTGCTAACACCCCCACCCCGGTGTCGTCTCCTCACTACATCTGGTCTGTTCTCAGGGGATACTTTTATGATGCCTGTCGGCCTTGTGGTTTCAGATACTGGGTCTTCATCTTCAGAGGATGAAGCTCCCAAGAGGCCAGCACCTGGGGCTGCGGCCAGAAACGGTGAAGTCAGGAGAAGACGAAGTCGTACACCCTCCCCTAGGAGGCGACATAGAGATCCCTCTCCAAGGTCAGGAATTAAGCAACACATTGGACACTTTTTAGAGTGTACAGTGATCCCTTGCTATAACGCGGTTTACTTTTCACGGTTTTGCTACTTCACGGATTTGCATCGTGCATTGTGTTCTGCATTCTGATTGGCTAAAAAGTCACTCCGCTTCTTCTCTACCTGTGCGCCAATAACGTTGCGGTTTAATATGTACACGTACGTAAAACAGCTTGCCAAATTGACATTACGTACGTGCAAATTCTCTTGCAATTTCGAGTTTATCAAACCCCATAATGTCGACAAAACGCTCTGGACCGGCAAAAGTACCTGCGGTAGGGACCAAAAGGCAGCGGAAGATGCTGTCTATCGGTGATAAAGTAAAACTATTGGACATGCTAAATGAAGGTAAAAGCTATGCGGCTGTAGGTCGGCATTATGGAATTAATGAATCTTCCGTTCGTTCCATAAAGAAGGAAGAAAAAAACATAAGGAAGACAGCAGTGAAATAAAGCTGAGTCACTATTTGTCCGACTGTACAGGTAATTTGTATTTTTTTCATAATCATTTTTAATTTTCTCCCGTTCACGGTGGGCGGTGCTAATCTCCGCAATTTGAAGCCTTCTGTTCACGTTGATGATTAAAATTATTATTTGACAGTACATTACAGAAGTTATTTGTTGAAACGTTTCTAAAGTACTTTTATTTTACTTTATTTGTGAAACAAATGGTTGAGACTGTAAAATGGTTTGTTCGTTCTTTCTCTTCTTTTTCTGAGTATTTAATTGTAAAAAAAATAAAGATTTCTACTTCACGGATTTTGCCTATCACGGGTTCTTTTTGGAACGTAACCCCCGCGAAAAACAAGGGTTTACTGTATTTGTGACACTGTAATTTCATTAAGTCAATGGATTGGGTTCTTTGTATCCTAACAATGTTCTTGACTTTCTAGGAAAAGACGTTCTCCGTCTCCAGGGCGCAGGCGTCGCACCCCTTCTCCCCCACGGCGGCGAAGATCTCCCTCTCCTCCACGCCGCAGGTTTGAGTCTTTTCATCTGATTTTCAGTGTTGGTTTGAGCTGAATCTTTTTTTGACATTTTCTTCTGGTTCTTCCTAGGTCTCCATCTCCACCTCCTCGTCGTCGTTCACCTTCACCACGACGGTACTCTCCCCCTATCCAGCGTCGCTACAGCCCTTCACCTTTGCCTCCGCAGAAAAGAAAAATGTCCAACTCTCCCGCGAGGCGTCCTTCTCCAGGAGCAAAGCGGCGTCCGTCCAGGTCGCCTAAGCGCAGAAGTCCTCCTTTACATCGCAGACGCTCACCTCCGCGGTCGTCATCGCCACCCAGACACAGAAGGAGTCCAATGCACTCTGGCTGGCAAGGCAGGGATACACGGTCACCCCCTCGCATGTCTCCGTCCCCTGTAGGCCGGGGCCGAGCTGCTAGGGTTTCCACCAGTCCACAGGGTCGCTTTGAGAAATCCGTGTCTCCTAACCATCGCAAGCCACAGTCACCCATGCATAGTAACAACAAACCAATTCGTAGGGTTTCCCGCACTCCAGAGCCACGCAACCAGAGGTGAGCAATAATTGGGCAGTTTTCGGTCTTGTCCTAATGTCGTCATTGACCTTTAGTTTAGTCTGACGGTCCGCGACTTTTGGTTTTACTTTTCAGAGCTTCAGTGAGTCCTCAGCCTATGAGAAAAGTATCTTCCAGATCTAGATCTGCGTCTCCTCAACCAGCAGCTCAAAAACGCCCACTTCCGGCTTCAGCTTCCCGCTCACCGTCTCGCTCCACCAGCAGGTCACCACCTCCAGCCAAAAAGCCCAGCAGTGCTTCCCTCAGTCGCTCTCCAAGCAAGGTATGTTTTTACCATTTATATATGTTAGCGTTTATTAGATTGTATCAATGTATACATGATTAACTTTATATGAAATATTAACTGTGTTGTTAGCTCGCAATTGACTTACTCCATGTGAAACTAGAGCCTGTTTGGTTGAACATTATGCTGATATACTCAGGAATTGAAGAAAGGTGCACACAGATTTTTTTTACTCAGGAATTGAAGAAAGGTGCACACATAGACTTTTTTGTTGTTGTTGTTATAGCCATCTTTTGCCACCTAGTGGAAGAACATTTAATTGTTCTGCCTGTCGTTGTTATAAGAGGAAGGAAGACACATTTGTGGTTAATAAATATTCTGCCTGTCGTTGTTATAAGAGGAAGACAAATTATTTGTAGTTAATAAATGTATAATTTCAGGTCCATTAAGTGAAATATTTCCGTAGTACACTTGATCTGTCGCAGCACAGTTGTGTATTTCAACAATTATTATTTTTTTTTTTTTAATAAATGAAATTTTTTTATTCAGCTGAATGTTTTTTGTGTTGCAGACTTCTGACATTGATGGCAGTGGAAAGAAAAAGAAGAAGAAGAAGGAAAAGAAACATAAGAAGGAGAAGAAACACAAGAAACACAAGAAGCATAAGAGGGAGAAGATCGGTGGAACTGGCACCACCGCCGCTGCCGCTGCAGCCGGTGGTGGTGGTGGTGGCACTGGTACTGGAGATGAACAAGAAAACCAGGCCACGGAGCAGGACGGAGATTCTAGAAAGGTAGAGGAAAAACATTGAGACGGTGCATGGTCAAATAATACGGTAGACATTGTTGTATACATTCGTGTTTGTGCTTGATTTCATATGGATGTTGTAGGAGTCTGACAGTGAAGTAGACGACAGCCTGGACGACCTGGAGAAGCACCTGAGGGAAAAGGCCCTGCGTTCCATGAGGAAAGCCCAGTTGTCTCCGTCACAGATGTCGTAGAACCACCAGGCTCCTCCGACTTTTTTGAAATTTGATGTTGCTTATCTACCCAGATCCACTTGTTTAGAATGTAAAAGTTTTTGTTCCCTGTTTTTTTTTTTTTTTTGTTTGTTTTGTTTTTCTTCTCACTGGTTTGGTACATTTTGAAGAGTTTGTTGCATTCAGAGTTTGGCGTGTCAGTTGAAAACCCCAATAGGAAGTCTGTGTTCATTTAAAACTGTCAAGCAGGGGGAGATAATTTAAAGCTCAGCGGTTGGAGTCAAACCGGTTTGAGACTGGTTTCGGATATTTTTCCACAGCCTACATTAGACTTGCATGTTTAGCAGTTGTCTCTGATGTGCATGAACCACTGACTTTATGGAGTTTAGAGAACAAAATACAGTACAATACTGCTAACTGCTGCCTGTGCGTACTGGCAGCAGCGGCACAGCCCTGTGCCCTTTAATGAATCTGATTGTCTTTTTCCCAACATTCAAGTTAAATAGAGGTGTTTGGCATTGTCTAACCTGCTGTTTTTTTTCTTCTTCTTCCTTTTTTTAGTTGGAAACCAGTCTAAAGTGATGTGGACAATGCTTTAATTTTTCAAAAATCAATATGTAATTTTATGTTGATACTCATACGCTGAGCTTATCTTTGTTTGACTCCTGCATCCTTTTCTTAGTTACCTTGATTCTTACCATGTGTTCATTCTGTCAGAATTAAAACCTTTTTATAGGACGTGTAACTGCTCGTCTTTGTTTGGTCATTTTGTCAGAAGCTGTCATTCGTACTGGGCATCGAGAAGAAATCTATTTGTTAGCGTTGTCCGATAATAGCGGCTGACCGATAATATCAGCTCGATATTAATTATTAGCATAATTGTAGATAATTAATAAAGAAAAATGGCTGCAGTTATCAGAATGGGTTGATTTCGGAAATTAAGTGTCTAGACAATATCGGACATCCCTAATATTTGTGCTTACCATCAAACTATAACATTGTAAAAATTCAGATAATTGTCACTGTTTTATTACAAATAGATCTTTAATAGTAATTATATGTATAATCATGAGTATTACCAACCTAATCCAAGGTAAAGCAAAAAATAAAAGTAGAGATGATATACAAATGGTATCTTTGTACAGGTAAATACAAATGTAGATGTGTGTGTGTGGAATAGTCGGCTACTGTGAGTTGTGTATTTGAATTAGATTGCATCAATCAGCACCTGGAGGTGTGTGGGGGGGGCTCTAATAAAAACACTCCAATTATAATAGGTACACAAAGTAATAAACAAATCAAGATGCAAAACACTTCCGTGCTTCTGTTCCAACACGATGGTTAGTCGTCGGACAAACAGGTTTATACGGAAGATCAAATTCATCAGATCTATTTATGTGTTTTCTCTAGCAAATTAGATCACAATCCACTGTGGGTTTGGTTTTGTTTTTTAAAGTACTTCCACAGTACCATAGAACCAAAAAAAAAAAAACACAAAACTAGTTCTGCTTTTTATTGAAAAGTCAATGGTCCTTATCTCTCTCTATCATCCTCACTAACTAGTAACCATTCGTATCACTATCCTTAACCAACCTAACATCCTCTCTGCTCTGTCTCTCTGTTTAGCTAACGGTACAAATTCTTCCTTCCTTCCGTACAACTCATCCTCTCCTCCAGTCTGACAGTTTTCCCATCCACTTCCCTCATTCTTTTACTATCCTGGTCTTTATTTCACCATCAACCTTCCTCGTCATCTCTTCACGGACTTGACTTTAACAACAACACCAACACCAATTTAGCTGAGCCTCACTCCCCCAAATTCCTCGTCATCTCTTCACGGACTTGACAACAACAACAACAAACAAACTTAGCCGAGCCTCACTCCCCCAAAAGGATCTCTCAACTCCAGCCTAAACTCTTTGCAACACTAGTTCATTCATCCATCTATCATATATCAAAAGTTTAATCTGCCCAGTGGAGTCAAGAGAGTGAGGGGCAGTTATTTCTCCAAGGGTGATCTTAGTATACCACCCAGTTCCCGCCCCGGTACTGCCTCGGCCTAGGGCCGTCCCTGCTCATCTCTGTCCCAGGACTGCTCCAGGGGCACTACTAACGTGCAGCCACTGAGCGGCTCCACAGCATCCTCCTCGGGTCAGTCAGTCAGAGTCTCTTCCCAACAATAAGACCGACTCCCCTCCTCGAACCCTCCCACATTTTTCCATGTTTGCTCGGCATATGACATCACTCCTTCAAATATTCCTCCTGCCTCTTCCCTCCCGTCCCCACAACCTCTGCTCAGCCCGCAGCAGCAGCAGCTCCTCCCGGCTGTGCTCTTTGTAGTTTAGCTGGAGCTAAGTTCCACGTCCGTACCGAAGCAGACGCGGGCAGTTAGCCGACACACACGCCGCTCCGTTACAGCTCCTCTCCCGGGGTTGTTGAAAAGGCGCCTTCTTCACTGGGCTTTCAGTGCGTGGAAACACGAGCGGGAGTGGAGAAGTGGACCGAGCTGAGTCGGGCGTGGTATCTTAGGAGGAGAAAATCCCCTCTTCACCGCCGTTAGCCAAACTTCCAGAAGTAGCATCTCCATCTTTATCCACGATGTCGCTGTCGGTGCCGCAGAACGGAGTGAAGGCGGACACAGAACCCGTTATCGAGCTCTTTGTGAAGGTAAGACCGCAACAAAGCACACGTCTACGGCTAACTTTTTTTTTATCAGCCCATAGTCAGAAAATGTGTTTTATTTTGTCATGTAAAAAAGAAGAAGAAGAAAAGAAAACAAGCTCAATTGTACGTTTTTGTTTTTACACATAAATCCGTTGTTTCGTCAGACGCGGGACATCGACACTGTTTTAAAGCGTCTTTATTTGCTCGAAAGGCAGGACAGAGAGCTGTGGTCTGGAAAAGTGAATATTTTAGTTTTCACATCTTTTGTCTTTGTGGCCATGTGGAGCTGCAGTGTCGGAGGCAGGGTGGAGGCTCTCCCCTCCTCTCCCTCCCCCGTGTCTCCCCCTGTCTTGGCTGGAAACAAGGCATTTGTTCAAGTACGACGTCCAGCCACATCAACAGCAACACAACAGCAACACAAAGGCTAGCCTGCTGCGCAGTCACTAACGCAAGAAAAATTATAGATTTCAGCAATAATCTTTAAAAACTATCATGATATATAGTTCAATTAAGAAATTACAAATTAAAATCTATTTGTATTGGTTTGTCATAAATTAATGTACAAACTAAAACGATAATAAAATCATACACTAGCTAGCCTGTGTACGATAATTATCTGCTAGGGAGCTGCCCTCTGTCTGCGTTTTCTTTTTTTTCTTCTATTCTTAAATTATCAATATAATTCTGAAAAAAAGCTAACCTGTAAAAAAAAAAGACTTGACAGATGGCAGTATTGCGATATTACTCAAATGAAAAAACAAGAAGTGAAGGATGGTGGGAGGGGCAGGATCAGCTGGTGGTCTGTACTGCCCTGAATACCCACTGTGTTGTTTTGGTTTGGTTTGGTTTGGTTTGGTTTGCCCGGCGGGAAAATAGCAGAGGGTAGATCTGGGGGAGAAAGTGGGAGGGGTCTGTGGGAGCTGGTGCAATGGGATGTTACTGACCACTGACCCTATTTGTGATGGTGTTGTGGGGTTTGTTGTTGTCCCTCTATTCGACAAAGACATTTGTTTGTGCAGCTTTACAGAAGTAAACAACATTTAAAAAAAATAAAAAAATATGTAAAAAGCAGGAGCGCTTTAATCTGGTGATTCCATCACATCCTCTGAATCTCCAGATCCTGACTAATCCCATTTCGTTATTTACTAGGGATGTCCGATATTAACTTTTTACTGGTATCCGATATGCCCGTATTGTCTAAACATTTAATTTCCAATTTCAATATCAACCGATACCGATATACGCAGCTGTTTGCCCCTAAAACTGAGGTAAATCTCTTACAAAAAAAATTCCAGCATATTTGGCAAAACCCATGTATTGCGTTATTATCGGGTTTTCGTTATAAAACCGATAATGATTCTTACAGATATTACCTAATTATGCTAGTATCGGCTAATGTTATCGGACATCCCTACTATCTACCCTTCCTAATTTAGCAGTTTTGCGTGTGTAGATTAAGAAGTTTAAACGTTAAATAATACAAATAGAGTCTCCCGTTGTATTTTAACAAAATGTAAAAAAGAACTAAATGAACAATCGACTGATTATTTTTATGATTTTAGTTTGAAGTATTAGTCAGATCCAACATGGCTACGTTATCCAAGGGCCTGGAACGTAGTCATATGTTCCAGACTCATCCCTCTCAGCCCCTCCCTCTTTAGTCCGGAAGTTTCTTTGACAGTATCTTTCCTCCGTAGACACAACAGTGGCCCGTGTTCTGTTGGATGTTACACCACGTTTGCGTGTTCTGCGCCGTGATCGGACTTGTCCGCATTAATTATTGATGTTGATGTGTTAGCTGTGCCAAGTTAGGGACAGTCCTGGGAGACAAAAAGACAGGCATGCAGGTTGCTATATGCGCAGCGTTGCCAGAGGGGCCTCTGGGAACAGCTGATAAGGATGTGTGTGTGTTAGTGCGCATGTGTGTGTGTGCTGTGTATGCACAGTGATGTCAGACCTGTTAGGGAACTGCCACATTTCAAAGCAGATTAATTTGACCCTCTGTTTGGATTTAGCTGTGGCATTAGCATTCACCCGTTGACAGTGGCTAACAGTTGCTGTAATGATTTTGCACTTTTCCATTCCCAGTGTTTATGACAAACAAATGTCACATTGTTATGGTAACGCTCAACTTCGTATACGTCCTCGGGAGCAGTTAGGTGGAGCGCAGTACAGTCGCCGTTTTATGGACCTTAGCCTCAAATTAGCGCTACATAATGAATTTGCGAGAGGGAGGTTCTGACCCTTGAACTCATTACAGTAGCTCAGATTAGATAGAGTTTTACACACCGCCGTCAGTCCATGCCGATGAACTTGGGGATCTCTGTTATTGGCGTCCACCAATGGTTGACTCCCTGGAGACGTTGGGTTGTCTTAGGTTGTCGACGCCCCCCTCCCTGAAGAAACAAGAGCAACAGTTTCTGTGACTCCTTAACTAATTCCAAAAAAAGTAAACACTTAAAATAAACTCATGATCTACCAGTACTTCCTTTACGATCCACTTGTAGATTCCGATCTACTAATTGGGCACTTCTGATCTTTGGATATAAATCACAAAACAATGTGAAAATCAACTGACAGATTGGTTGTTCTGCCCCTACGTCCAGTCAGTTGCTGTGTTGCAGATATTTATTCAGGTCTGATTTTTTTTTAATATGAAATCAGATTCATTTGGATCCGACGTTTCCAGCGATGACTCCATGGAAACTATACTTCACTAATACTGCACTGTGAATATTAGACCTGTTAGCCTAGCCCACATTTCAAAGCAGATTAATTTGACCCTCTGTTTGGATTTAGCTGTGGCATTAGCATTCACCCGTTGACAGTGGCTAACAGTTGCTGTAATGATTTTGCACTTTTCCATTCCCAGTGTTTATGACAAACAAATGTCACATTGTTATGGTAACGCTCAACTTCGTATACGTCCTCGGGAGCAGTTAGGTGGAGCGCAGTACAGTCGCCGTTTTATGGACCTTAGCCTCAAATTAGCGCTACATAATGAATTTGCGAGAGGGAGGTTCTGACCCTTGAACTCATTACAGTAGCTCAGATTAGATAGAGTTTTACACACCGCCGTCAGTCCATGCCGATGAACTTGGGGATCTCTGTTATTGGCGTCCACCAATGGTTGACTCCCTGGAGACGTTGGGTTGTCTTAGGTTGTCGACGCCCCCCTCCCTGAAGAAACAAGAGCAACAGTTTCTGTGACTCCTTAACTAATTCCAAAAAAAGTAAACACTTAAAATAAACTCATGATCTACCAGTACTTCCTTTACGATCCACTTGTAGATTCCGATCTACTAATTGGGCACTTCTGATCTTTGGATATAAATCACAAAACAATGTGAAAATCAACTGACAGATTGGTTGTTCTGCCCCTACGTCCAGTCAGTTGCTGTGTTGCAGATATTTATTCAGGTCTGATTTTTTTTTAATATGAAATCAGATTCATTTGGATCCGACGTTTCCAGCGATGACTCCATGGAAACTATACTTCACTAATACTGCACTGTGAATATTAGACCTGTTAGCCTAGCCTTGGGTCACAGTCCAGACCTGTATTCAGCTCCTGCCATCAGTATAGTTGGAGTAAACATCCTTAGGTCCTTTGAAGTCTGTGTGTTGATCTGTATCTGTGAGCGTACTTCAGGACGGTCCTATAGGGGCAGGAGTGTTTGTCCTGACACGACTCGGTACTGTTGGTTTAATGACACTGAGGGTGAAGACGGCGCCAGAAAAAGAGGCCGTTTACAGCCGACATCAGAACTCTGGACTCAGATTTATGAGTTCACGTGAAGTCCTGTTGTGCGTACGTCGGTTCAAATCTTGGGGACGAGCTGCTGGTGTCACGTTGTGCTGTCCCTCGCAACATGTGACCTGTTCCACATGATCAACCGTTTTATTGGAGTGAAAATGTGCTTCATCCACAGTTACTGGTCCAACGCACCAGTGCACACTGCACCTCAGGTACCTGTAACCAAACTTCACTCCCTTCAAAACAACAAAACAAAAAAAAAAACTAAGTATGTTCCGCCGCTGTCACTGTGAGTTCTTTTTACAAATGAAATGAAATTTGAGGTTTTTTTCAAATAATCATCAGCGTCGGAGTTAACAAGTTGAGTTACCGGAACTGATTAATGGCTCAACGCTGTTGTTTCTGTGTCTGTCTGTGTCTTTTTGTACTGTAAACTGCCTCCATTTCTGCTTTCTTTAACCCCCCCCCCCCCACCCTGAAACAGGTTTAATTGGTTTGGTAAAGTGTTATTACACCAATTCAAAGAGGGACTGTGGAACCGGCCTTTGTGTTTTTATGAGAAGGTCTATTCAGAGATGAGTTTGTGTCGATCTGTCAGATGATTGGACGGCAGAGTTCAGTTTGACTTAAAGTTTAAAGATTCTAAGAAGAACGTTCTCTCTATAATGTTGTTGTTTTTGGTTGGGAGTTACTGTTTAAATGACCTGGTCGAAGTGATCAACCTTCACATGGAAAACGCTAAATATATATGTACTACATATGTTACATTACAATACGTTTAGCAGACACTTTTATCCAAAGCAACTTACAATTTGAGTCGATCGACAATCAAGCTGCAGTAAAGACACAAAATACATGAATAATAATAATAATAATTAATAGTAAAAGTACAGTTATTTTAACTTTATTTATTTTTTCATAGTCATTTTAATTTAAATGCTCATGACACTCCCTTTATGATCTGCTGGCAGATCCTAGAGCGACTGATTGGACACCCCTGGTCCAGAGGAAGCTTGTTGTATTCGTGCTTCCTGACCCGACCTCTATTGGACTAATGTTTCTCCAATGGGTTCAATGACAGGAAGTCGAGTCATTAGCGCTTCCGGCGAGTCTCTTTGAAGATTGAATTTCATGTTGCCTCCCACCATAGTTCTGTGATAACTTTAAAAAAAAAAAAAACAAAAAAAACGATTTTAAAAAAAAAAAATTATTATTTTGTAAAAAAAAAAAAAAAAAATTTTTTTAA